GTTTAACTTCTTCAGGTAGTATTGATTTTGTGAGGTCACTTTCTAAGTCGTCTAGTGTCGTGAGGTCAATGGTAGGGTAGTGTGTGATGGCATGAGGGTTGTGTCGTATCCATGTTTCTACTCTGTTTATGTTTTGTATTGCTGTTGGCTGTGGGGGGTGGGGATTTTTTTTTTTTTTTTTTTTTTTGAGATATATACAAGAGTTGTTACATTCTTGTACAGCCACTAGTACGCGTAGCGTTTCGGGCAGGTCCCTGGAATACGATCCCCGCCGCGAAGAAGCGTTGTTACAACCAAGTACACATTTTACTGTTGCGTTAAACAGAGGCTACAGTTAAGGAATTGCGCCCAGTAAATCCTCCCCGGCCAGGATACGAACCCATGACATAGCGCTCGCGGAACGCCAGGCGAGTGTCTTACCACTACACCACGGAGACTGCACTTCTGAGGGATCGGTGTAGTTTTGATTGTTGTGAGTGATGTATGTAAAGGCAGAAGAGGAGGAGTTTCCCCTGATCCTCTTTATGAAGTTCCAAAATTGTTGTGGAGTTGTTTTTCTTTGTATTTCAGCTTTATGTATGAGTTTCTCCCAGTGGTTAGCATGGTCTTGGTCAAGGCTGTTGAGTGTGTGGTTTTTGAGTATAGTGAGGTCTGTGTTTACTTGGTTGTATCTGTGAAGGTTGTGGGTGAATCTGTTGTGATAGCAGGAGAGTAGCCTTTTTGTTCTGATCGAAGGAAAAAAGGAGTATCTGGTTTTGTGGGTAGTTTTTGGAATGGTAGCATCAGCTGCTTGTATGATGTTATTCTGGATGGTGAGGATTTGGGAATCTGTCTGTGTGTGGTTGGTCTTGGAAGTTGTAGGGCTGTGTGCTGGCAGTTAGGTGTTGTTTGAAGGCTTCCCAGTCTGCATTTTGATAGTCATATTGTGGGGTGGCTGGGATGAGTATGGGGTTGCTGGAGAGTGTGAGTGATATGGGTATGTGATCTGAGCCAGTGAGGGGTCCGGGTGTGATGTAGTGTTGGAGGTGGGTGCCTGCTCTGTTGGTGAGGATTAGATCTGGTCTCCCAGTTCCATTGTGTGCGTAGGTTGTTTGGAAGTCAGGGCCAAGGAAGGTGAGGTGTTTGTTTTGGTGGAGTTGGTGTAGTTGTTGACCGTGCATGTTGTGTTGGCGATGGTTGAATGTTTGGTGTTTTGCATTTAGGTCTGCTAGGAGGAAGACTGGTATGTGTGTGTGGTTGAAGAGAGTGTTTAGGTCCTGGAGGGGGAGACCTAAGTTTGGACGAATGTATGTGGTACCAATGATCATCTGCCCGTGTTGAGTGTGAATGCGGACTGCTAGGAAGTGTTTGTGCTGCCAGTTGGTAATGAGGAGGTCATGTTTATAGGTGTTCTTTATCAGGATAGCAACCCCTTCGTATGCTTCATCAGGAGATTGGCATGTTGTGAAGCCAAAATGTCTAATTTTGTGAGAGTTCGTCACGAATGTGCTGTTCAGTAGCAGCACATCCGGTCTTTCATTCTCCACAAAGTTAGCTATTGGGTGTCTGATGTTGTAATATGCTCTAACGTTAAATTGTGTGATTTTCATTGTTTACTGACTTGATGGGGGAGTGTTTGTGGCGTTTGAACCGGAGAGGTTCTCCTTTGTGGATTGATTCGTTGTGTAGATAGATTTGGTAATTATAGATTTGGGTAGGAGATATGTTTGACATCCGTTTTGCATGGTTTCTGGTATGAATTTAGGAAGTTTTGGTGTAGGGGTAAGTTTTGGATCGTGGAGAGGAGGGTGGTGTCTACGTTGAAGGCAACAGCAGTGCAATTATGTTTCTGTTCCAGTGTCAGTGCAGGGGTGAGTCCTAATGTCTGTAGTCCTGTTCGGGCTTTGGGGGGTGAGGCAAGCATAGAGGTCAGATTCAGAGGGTAGAAAGAGCTTTATTCCTTTGTCAATGGGGGTTGATGGAGGCGTAAGGAGTCTGGGTGATCATGTAGATTTTCTGTCCTATTCCGTCAGGGTCAGGGGGAGGATCAAGAGCATAGAGGAGGCGAAGGCAGTGCATTTTAGGTGAGGTAGTGGTCTGGTGGAGGAGGTGGTGGTGGGTTTACTCAGCAGGGTAGCTGGTGCTAGGCTCCCTCGCTTAAATCTACAGTCTTCTGCCACCGGGATCGTCATCAATGTCAGTATTAAATGGGCGTAAAAGATGTGAATTTAATGTGAATACTAATCCCGGGTTTATTTAAATTGTGCACATATTAATGTTGATGATCAGTAAATCACCCCAATCTCGGTATCATCAGAGCATAGTCTCGCAAAGAGCTTTGTCTGTCTTGAAATCAAATGAGGTTGTGAAAGTGATAAACTGTCAGAGAGTGACAGCTCTAACCTTATCAGTGTCGAGTTACTATAGTGAGTGACCGACGACATGTAGTGTGTGTGTGAACAGTATTATTATATAACACATTTGAGATAGGGTGTTACAATCTGTTTACCGGAAGTATTGAGAGAGATTGATTACTACGGGTCTTAGTGACACTTAAGTAGTGTAATGATATATATTATCATTATCACCATTGTGTTATTATTGTTGTGTGCTGTCTTGTATAAGTGACATCTTGTTATTGTTTCGTCTGAGTGATAAGCAGTAATTAGTGTGGTTAGTTGTTGTAATTATTGAAGTGTTAATTTTCTTTGGTGACTCTGTGTGACAGTGTAATTAACGTAAATCATTGATTGTTAACTGTCCGAGTGACAGATATAACGTAATTGATTGTTAATGGATTATCTTTAATTGTTAGCTGTCACGTGACAGTGTGTAATAACGTAAATTGATTGAGTGTTGATTGTCAATCGACTTGATAAAGGTCCAGGACGGACCGAAACGTCGTCGTCTCTTCAATTTCTAGTGTGTGGTTTGGTCAACAGTTTTCAGCTACGTTATTGTGACTCTTCATCTGTATATTGTCAAGATGTTGTGTATTAAAATATCATTACATTTTGTTTAATATAACATATATAATTGACTTATTCATAGTCATTTGATTATAAGAAACTACTAATTTACATATGAATCGGCATTTTTCAACAAAAATTTGGGCGTGATTATACCACATGCTCCCAAAAATTATTTGGTTTAATCAAAAATAAAGTTTTTCTTTATAATTAGGTATATATAGCTGGAAATGTTAAATCTTGATAGCTATAGAGATTTATTAAGATTCCAATTTTCAAAAATTTCTGTTGTGAAACCTTTCAATTGATGTAAGGTGCGTTAATCTCGGATGAACCACCCTATATGTCAAATGATGTATGCAGCACCCAAAGGTTAATTGTTGCTTATATCCGGGTTTGATAAGTCCACTACGGGCTCACCATAGCCCGTGCTACTTGGAACATTTTGTTCCAAGTAGCTGAATCTAAAACAACAACAAACAACCGAGTTTGGTGTTGTAGTAAGTTTTTTTTTAGTTAAAGCTGACCTTGATCTTAACAATTTAAGGCCTTCAAACTTTGAGCATCCGTTTATTTAAATATTAGTACATTCTTGCATTTTCTGATACATTTATTGTTGTTTATCAACAATTATTATTTCAATTACCTTTCAAATTTTTTCTCCATAATGTCTTGTGCTGATGAATTTTCAAATATACTTGAAGTGTTTTCTGCAACATTGATTATGAAGTAATGAATTATAATCTCAGTAAATTTTCGTGTGCTATATTTTCCTTTGCAATATTATTAGCAGATGAACACATATTTTTATTAATATTTGCATGTTGATGTTTTTAATTGTTTAGGGGTGTGGTCTATTATAATTAATCTCTGTGCTGATACTTTTACCATGAGAGTCCGTGTCTTAATATGACTCCATAGACGCACACCTATAATGAAAACTTTAAAAGCTTACCAGTAAAATAAAGGTATTGATGAAAATAATAGTAACTGGTTGCAACAGTGTTTCGTTCTTCCCATTAAACAGGAGTCATTAGTTGTCTGTTCCTGTCTGTGTATAATAAAACAGGTGGTATTGTAAGTGGTATATAATTAGTATTACCACTATATGTTTCAGAGTGGGATACACTGTAATAGTGTAACAAATGGAATCTTTGATACACTGTAATAGTGTAACAAATGGAATCTTTGATACACTGTAATAGTGTAACAAATGGAATCTTTGATACACTGTAATAGTGTAACAAATGGAATCTTTGATACACTGTAATAGTGTAACAAATGGAATCTTTGATACACTGTAATAGTGTAACAAATGGAATCTTTGATACACTGTAATAGTGTAACAAATGGAATCTTTGATACACTGTAATAGTGTAACAAATGGAATCTTTGATACACTGTAATAGTGTAACAAATGGAATCTTTGATACACTGTAATAGTGTAACAAATGGAATCTTTGATACACTGTAATAGTGTAACAAATGGAATCTTTGAAGTACTATTTTCCACGTGTGAGCGTTCTTTCCCAGAGTTATATTACAAATAATTGTCTTGATAAGGATCTAACAATTTATGGCTCATGGTCTATTCTTGAGCTATGACCTCAAAATAGACATCAGCGTGGAGGGGGGGGGGGGTTGCCAGGAATCGTGGGAAAATTAGCAGTAGTATGAGAACAAGAAGAGAATTATTCAGCTGCAGAGTAATTAATTTAGAGTAATCATGATTTCAGTCTTTTGGGTTGGTGTTAGGCCTAGCAGCCTCGGGAGTTACTAAGACCACCAGAGTTGATTTCTGACGGACCAGCAAGTATACTTTAGTCCTGAACGTAGTGCAGGATTAAACTATATACACAGAGTACCGGGGTATACTTTCCGTGGTATAATATATATATATATATATATATATATATATATATATATATATATGACCATGGATTCATGACCATGGCTACCAAGACCATGGATTCTCATGCCATGGTCTTGGTAGCCGATGGCATGAGAATCATGTCACTGAGGCGCTGGTGTGGGGGAATAAAGTAAAGTGACTTTTACAGAACATTTAGCTTTATTGGACATAAGATTTATATAACTTTATTGAGCTCCCACGACCTGTCATTCTCAGACAGCATAAATTAACTGCTAATGAATACTAAACAACTCCTAAAATGGGACATTATATTTTCGTCAAAGCTGGCATATATCACACGTAAGTCCGCTGCGGTAACTGAAACGCAATGTTCATGCATAGAATTTAGGTTCACCTGTTCAGGAACTCGGCACCTGTGTCGGCGACAATCGACTTATAACAGAGTGTTTAAGAGAAGCTGCTTGCTGCACTAGTCAGCTAGGATCTGCTGCGAGCGAGGATATATCTTCTTGCTGTGGACGTAAAGCCATCTTCTACTGCGGACGTAAAGAAATATCCTGCTGCGGACGTAAAAGAGCTGTTTCTGGATACGTGAAGGATTTCCTGTTGGATACCTGAAGGGTCTCCTGCTTAATACGTGAAGGATCTCCTGTTGGATACGTGAAGGATCTCCTGTTGGATACCTGAAGGATTTCCTGTTGGATACGTGTAGGATCTCCTGTTGGATACGTGAAGATCTCCTGCTGGATACCTGAAGGATCTCCTTCTGAACACTTGAAAAATATGTTTGAATACAAGCGCAATAAATGACTTGGGTTTACAATCAACTTGAAAGCATATCACGTGGTAATCACCAAAGGAATAATATAAATGGGGAACTGAGTTTTCTCTTCGGTGACTACGAAAACGATGTAGTTTTTGGAGGTCAATTTCTTGTTAACAATGAAAGAATATTGGAGTTTCAGCAGTTGCAGCTAGCACACTGTGCTTTGGAATGGCCATCCTCCAAGATCATTGATCGGGGCGTCGCAGCATCTCTCATAATTTACATTTACTGTTTTGTAGTGTCATAACAAACAGTTCAAGTCTGAAAAAAGTCTTTGTAGTCGTAGTTTCCGTTTAACATCTGTTGTCACTCTGTATGGACAGCTTATTTCTACTTTTGTCAGAGCACTTATATAAGAATGCATGTCGAGTGATTAAAATGTGAACAAACCTATTGATTATTTATTTATAAACAAGAGGATACATTGAGTTGAGAGAGTACGTAACACTGATGTTATGACATTCTTGTATAGCCACTAATACGCACAGCGTCTCGGGCAGAGTCGAGCATCGCTGAGTGCGTACGGAAGAATTCAAACTCTGAAAGGAGGTTGTTGAAAGGGAGCATAAAAATATCCTTTGGACACAGAAAGTGGACTTGTTTCTCATTTTAGGACACTTGATATCTTGCTGAGAAACATTGCTTAACAAACACTCATCTGATTTTAGACACATGGACAAATGGTTCATATATTGGGATCGTATTACATTTGAGATACCAGTGTTAATTTATCTCTTAGTATCTGACAAAATTTGGCTACAATTCTTTTGCTGCAAAAAGTGATAAATACTCTACATTGAATTGGATAATCCTATGCATGGTATAGCACGTAAATGTTAAGTCTCCATTTATAACACAAATATACACACACAAGCCAAACATTCGAACCCTCAGTCATGCGCACACACAAAAGTTGCCAGAGAGCCTAGATCTCCTTCAGAAGAGAGAGCACAGCCTAATTAACACGCAGCCTAGTGAACCACTTTGGAATAATTTAATTCCATAACTCATAAGCCGTCTAGCCACACCATTGCATGTATTAAATTTTAAGTAAATTCTGATTATATTTTTTGACATACATAAAGATTAGTTCCTATGTTGGTTGCACCAAGCTATCACAGAGCTGCACCAAGCTATCACAGAGCTGCACCAAGGTATCACAGAGCTGCACCGAGGTATCACAGAGCTGCACCAAGGTGTCACAGAGCTGCACCGAGGTATCACAGAGCTGCACCAAGGTATGACAGAGCTGCACCAAGGTATCACAGAGCTGCACCAAGGTATGACAGAGCTGCACCAAGGTATCACAGAGCTGCACCAAGGTATGACAGAGCTGCACCAAGGTACCACAGAGCTGCACCAAGGTATCACAGAGCTGCACCAAGGTATCACAGAGCTGCACCAAGGTATCACAGAGCTGCACCAAGGTATCACAGAGCTGCACCAAGGTATCACAGAGCTGCACCAAGGTATCACAGAGCTGCACCAAGGTATCACAGAGCTGCACCAAGGTATCACAGAGCTGCACCAAGGTATCACAGAGCTGTACCAAGGTATCACAGAGCTCGCCTCTCTCACACGTCTTTAACAGCCATCGCTTTAAGGCAACATGACTAGGACAAGAAAATCCCTCAGGAGGATTATAGAAACAAATAATGCTACTCTTGATTTACACTGATGCATATAGAAAGTTCGTTTACCGCTGGAAACACTGAAATAATTAAATATCACTATATAAGAAGTTGCACTGGCATCTACTGAAGCACCCATACTAGGCTGAGAGGCAACACGATAATGCTAACAAAACTGATACAGAATTAAGTCAGCATTAGTAGCTCAGGGTCGAGTATTATCCAGAAAACGGCAGCAATGAGATAAGATTTTTGTTCTGTGAAACTGTTGTGGTTCAGATGAATTGCAAGTGTCAGGGTGGTACAATCTGGTTCGTTCTCGACTGATCACAATCGAGAACTCCGGGATCGAATCCCGGGCAAGACAGAAGTGGTTGGGCGCATTTCCTATCACCAAATGCATCTGTTCACCTAGCAGCAAGTAGGTAAACCAGGAGTTAGTCAGCTGATGTGGGGTTGCATCCAAGGGAGAAGGGATGGGAGGAGCCTCAATATAAGCCTAACGCCTATAAACACACTCTCGCTGCCTGTCCCCAGATATAATGAATTATATATACAATAAATATTAACTATTCAGTGATACGCTGACATCCGAGTTACTTGTTTGAGAGCGTGAATCGGATCACAATATTCTAGTGAGGTTGGTGTTGTCGCAGCGCGTCCAGGGATGAGGCTGTGGATCTTCCTTGAGACTCGTAAGAATGATCAGAACGGAGTCATTAATGTTATCTGCAGGTATTTCAATACCGAATTCATATTAATTTCTGGAGTTTAGTTCATAAATAACTTGAATGCTAAAGCTCCCGTCATACACACTCGAGCTGTCTTTCAATTTTGAATACGTCACATGACACCAACAATCATTACAAAGACTACTTGCATCATTGCATGAATCATAAATTGACATTTAAGACAAAAAGTTAAAATATCAATCAAAATGTTTCAAAAAACATTTTTTTTAAATAACAATATGCATTAGGACATCTTTGGATGTTAGAGCTTTTACGTATATTGTTTTTGTTTGTGACTATATGCAATAATTATTAAGGTGTTCTTTGAAAAAAACAATTTCTTCCTAAAGTCGACGGCATTAAACCCATAAGTTCCAAGCCAGCAAAGTTTCTCATGGAAAGGCACTTCCTACCTCAGCGATACAGGTTTACAGCTTTCCTGATGTAGCTACTAGAGGATACCACAGGTTGTGGAGTGCAACTCTTCCTTACCCCATAACCTCAACCCAAAACCACACACCTCACACAGTCTCATTAGGTCACCTGCCAGGTGAGAAACCTTCCCAAGACCCTCACACTACTTTCAATGGAATATCCTTGGCAAGAACGCAATAACATCTGGGAATGAGACCCCGCCTATACACAAGCACTTCACCACCACCTGGTACGGGTACTCCAACACATTAGGGTCTCACAGGGCCTAAGAAGAAAATCCCCTTCATACCATCTAGGGACTCTACACTAATACCACACTATCTGTAAGGAAACCCATACACACGACGTCCCTGCGTCCCTTCCTTCCGTCGTTGTCTTGAAAAAATACTACTGGGATCAGAGCGATTCCAGGTAATTAAGGCGATCTAATTCTTCACCAAGCGGTGTAACCCATTTATCGTTGCATATGCACTTTAATTTACTTTAGTTCTGGATAATGTTCAGGATATAATATGTGAATCCTGTGAAAATTGAAAGAGAATAACCATTTTAACCAGAAACCTAGTTAACAAAAACTCAAACCTATATATATAAATAATAATGAATTGTAATATTTGCATCATAACCTCCATTCTGATGTTAAAAATTTTAGCAAAATGTACTAATAGAGCTGCGTAGAATATATTAGGTTTGTATATAAAATTAAGTAATCTTAAATTACATAGTTTCAGCATGCAGACATAATTTTTTAATTATGTTAATTTAATTTAAAACGTACATACACAAGGCGCGTCTGGGATTAATCAGGTACCTGGTTCGAACCCCCGTCCCATCCAAATGAGTTTCTTCTAAAATTTACATAAAATTAGTTAAATGGATTGAATAACTTCGTTTCATCCGTTTTATTTCTGGATGGAGATTTTTATTACAACATTTTTTTCTTTTTTGTGTAAATGTTGATGCTTGTTTTCGTTATACTTGACAATTACCACTTTATTCTTTTATATTTTAAATGTGTTACCAATAGATTTGTTTTTGTCAATTTCGTAGTTTTGTGCGGCAGTGAGATAACACAAGAATATTAAAATTCAGAAAACAGCAGAAAACTCATAAGAGATGATTCCTAATTATATCCACCCAAACGTATTAGTATATATGTCTAACCTAAACTTGAAACAATAAACCGATCAGGCGTCTATTGAGGTAATACTTGGTTAACGGTATGTATGACGGATATTCCGGCCAAATTGGGCTCCGCTTTAGAATGGTTCTCCATCAAGGTATTCCCCCTCCCCACATTATTCTATTTCATTCGGAATTATATTTAGTTTAATAAAACCCTTTGTAATATGTCTGTGGCCCATTTGGGTACTCGGTTTCCACCTGTGTCCCCCTTGTTCGTGTTCCACCCATGTTAAATAGACTGCATTGTCTTTGTCCACCCCTGTCAATTCCTCTGAGAATTTTGTAGGTGGTGATCATGTCTCCCCTTACTCTTCTGTCTTCCAGGGACGTGAGGTTTAGCTCCCGCAGCCTTTCCTCGTAACTCATACCTCTCACGTGGCTCATACCACAGGGCACGAACATGTGTGTGTGTGTGTGTGTGTAGCATCCTATTACGGTGCCTTTACTGTCAATGTAGCAATCTTATGCTATATTTTCAAAATTTTTGAAGCACTTATAAACTATTTGCCTGAACCTAATACTGAAGAAAAGCTTGACAAGTATTAGATAATCACATAACAAGATTGTATAAACCTTCGCAAGAAGATTTCTTCAGTATTTACGAACATTTGTAAATTTAAATTCTATATTTAATTAATGTGGCTATACCGCCAGTCCTAATGCTTTTAATATTTATTGAATGGTCCTGCTAGTCATGCTCTTGAACCTCGCTCATCCTACACAGTTGAGAGGTTATAATCGGCTCAAAGACAGGCCAAGAAGCGCCCCCTGTTGATGATGTTGAGCTCAATCACTCCTCCGGAGGGGGTTCATAATCCTTCAACCCATCCTCCTAAAATGATAGTACATGTAGCAACTATTTGGTTGAACTTAAAAATATTGTTGAACCTAAACAAAGTTAAACGTTCTGTACTATTCATTTTAGAACTTGAGAAAAAGCTAAAACCAAACTTAAACATTCCTAGTATAGTACATATGTATACTAAATTAAGTAAGTGTATTAGGCCCAGGACTGTTTGTAGAGGTTAGGCTAGGTTCTTAATTTACATTTCAGGTTATCTAAAATTACATTTGGGTTTATTTAATAAGACAAAATGTGAGCTTTTGGGCCTACAGTGCATATTGGTAAATTTGACCAAATAGTTGTTACAAGTACTATCATTTTAGGAGGACAGGACGTAACACCTCACTCGGGTCCATTCACCATTTGCTATTTTGTTTTTCCATTTGATTCGTGAAGCATTGTTAACCATACACCCGCGATTTACGGCTTTTATTCAGCTGCGCTGTTTAAAGGTTAAGGCCACCACAATAGCTTACCCACCAACCAGCCAGTATACTTTAGTCCTGAACACTGTCCAGGACTAAAGTATATTCTCAGGATATATATACACCGAATCGTAGGATACCTTATCTAGGTGTATATGTCAAAATACACTAGCGAGATAAATCCGCTGCAACACACACAACAGCTTTGGAAACAAGTCAACTGGGTAAGCATTTATCCTTGTACCGTAAACTCTCACTCTTTATTTAATATGAGAGATTCAAAAGTTGGTACCTATATGCTTGCCATCAGAGTTAACCCAATATCTGTATGTTTTTATATTTGAACAGAGTCTTTAAATCTATTAGAAATAAGTATATATCATCTAAAATTAGTAGTACATCAAACAACCTTTTCATCAAAGATCTGACGACAAAATATTAATCTTCCTAAAACTGAAGCAATTAGCAAACTCGAACTCCTCATTCTCGGAATAAGATTTGTGAACTCTAAGATCTAGCCCATTGTATTGTGATTAGAACGTTCAAAGTAAAAACCAACTGGTTTATTTGCTGACCAAAATTATTTGTAATTTAGTTTTTTTGTAAATAAAACGGTTATTGGAAGCCACTTAAATACTTATCGTACCGCATGTAAACATTCTCCCTCGATGAGAGCATCCTTGCCAGACGTCGCTAGGATGCAACTGTCCCTCAGGGTTCCCTCAAGCCAGTTACTGTCAGCAAGATAAAAAGAACTAAGTCAGTGTGGCTGCGTAGCGACACTTGTGAGCGGTGGTGTAAGCCCTGCCAATCCACATCCCTTCCCCCAGTCATCCATTATGCACTAAACACCACCCTCAGACCCCCACCCACAGTCTTATACCCCCTCCCTTGTCCAACCCCCCTCCCCGCTCTCAGTATTCCCCCCCCCCCTCACCACCCCCGCTCACCGCAGGTTTGCTGTATCACAATCTATATAATGTTCCCAGCCACCAGGCTCGACGCGGATAAACATTACCTCCATCCTGTAATTTTCCCAGCTGGCAAAGCATTACCAACCTTGGCATTTAATATAATAATTCCTTGTCGGGAAGACGCGACATCTCTCACCAATTTTAAGAGCTTCCAACATCTGCAAAACCATGAGAGTTGTGATGTTATTATCGAAGACCTTATTCAGTTCTTATTGAAGTCTGTGCAATTTTTTCGTGCATGTGTTTTTTTTTGCAAGTGATTCCGCCAGCGTGCGAGGGTGTGGTTCAAGCCCAGCAAGGCGATTGTGTAGCGCAACACACACACAGTTATATTTCTATGTGATAGTCGTTATAGAACAAGATGGAGACTACGTTGTGGGTGGTGGACACACGCACTCTGCCTGACGAGTCCAGGGATGGAGCAGGCCCGAACCCGTTGTACTGCTACATTATCTTCTCTGATGTAATACGTTCTTGAGAGTCCACTGTACGAATAACAGATGCTCACTGAGACTCGTCATCATGTTCACGTTCTCTGACATTAGTTCACTGTACTCGTTCACTGTCCGCACAACAGGTAAAGGAAATATCCGCGAGGGTTAGTCCTAATTGCATACAATTTCATGATGCAAAATTTCGTCATTTAAGAGAGGAATCACTTCTCTGCAGCTGGAGACGAAGATATTACATATACAGGACATGGAGAGCGTTGCCAGGACGCGAGGCTCGTTGCCAGAACGCCATCACTAACTTGCCTATAAAGTTATTTAAACTAGAATACATAATTTGACAATTTGTGAGCAGAGCTTCTTAATAAGAAATAAATGCAGGAATCGAATTATTTGTCAAAAATAAAATTCTGGTCAATATTAATAATGTTTTTTTTAATAAAGAGCCCATTAAAATGAAAAAATATGTAGAGTAACAATTTATGCTAAAAAACAATAATTTTGGGGCATCGAAACCTTCAGGCCTGATAAAGCGTGTCACGAGGCTTCATGGTAGCGTGTCACTGACCTTCACCAGTCTTCAGCAAGATCAGAATTTCATTACTCAACATCATGGTTACACACACACACACACACACACACACACACACACACACACACACACACACAGGGCATGTTACCCATTTGGAATTGTTGTATTATGTCTCAATTGGATAACACAAATGGCTTGTCTGTGGCAACTTTGAAATGAGGAGTTATAAATTTAACACATTTTTCCATTATTCACTTGTGGTTAGTTCTGTTCACATATTTATACACTTATATTTAATTAAGTTCACCTGTATCTCAGAATAAATACCGTGCGTACTGCTATGCATAAAAAATAACTTGACATTTCGTCTTTGTTTAAAAAAACCGCGATTGTTTTGCATGGTTGGCACTGCACCTTAGGCGACACGATTGTCCACTAGTTCAGGAGGGCGTCAGTGGTGGGTCTTGGGCCTCACCACCTGGTTGATCATCTCAAACAAGTCCTCGTTGATGATGTTGGACGTCTCCCGCACCAGTTCATCCAGGCGTGGGAACTCTTTGGGTGTTCTGGGCGGTCTGGTATACTGCGTCGTCTCCATGGGCTCCCCGCCTCCCTCCCCGACGCCCAGGTCCGCTCCCCCGCCTCGCTGGTACACCTGTTGCTGCTCCCGCGTCAGTTTCTGTTGCTCCGCCATATAATACTGCCGTTTCCGCGTGATTTCGCACTTCTCGCAGTTATGGTTCTCCCGGTATGGGCAGAACCACTTGTGGCCCTTGACCTCCACGTAGATACCGTGGTTGGCACACATGCGACACCTGAGGCGGATACCAGACAGTTAGGAACAAGGTCTGCGATTGGGTTTTGTACTAGCATGCTACAAAATGTTAATATAGTGGACTGAGACAATATAGATATATATATATCAAATATTAACGGAACACCGTACTTCCACGAGGAAGATTTGCATTATTACCGTTGTTTTCGCTTGCCTTTCTTCTTGGCTTCGTCGTCGTCGACAGGGAAGGGGGACAAGGCAGCTCCATCACCGCTACCGGTAGTCCCCAAGTCTGTCGGACTGTGTGGATTGTAGCCGTTTGGGTATCCCTCCTGTCCGACGTAGCCCGGTGGGCTATGAGTGCTGTTGGGATGGGGGTAGTCGGTAGGGTACTGCTGGAGACCGGGGCTGCTTGGGGGCATATACCCAACGGGAGAGCTGGGATACTGGCCACAGTCTGGTCCGTAATCATAAGACTGCTGGACAACTTCGGGCGCTGGTATCCGTACTTCAGGCGCCTCTGTGTTGAAGCTCTCAGAGAGGACAATACCTCTACCGCCGTTGAAGAAGTCGAATTTCTTCTTGGGAGCCATAGCCATTTTGCACGAGTTCTGTAAATAGACGTAAAAAATGTTGAAAATGTTTATATACCGAATATTGTAATTTTTAAGATGTTTGGAGTTCTTGCATGTTAATTGTTTATCTTGATATGTAAACCTTTTTCATAAGTTTATATAAATATGAAATTTTTTGTTTATTCATGAATTAAAACACTTTATGCAAAATTATTTTAATCATTAACTCTACCGTCATGAGATTAGAAAAGTTCCTCAAAAATACAAATTCACTACAAATTCCAAATGATTTAATTGACTGAATAATAACACAGAAGCCACAACAAGGCACCAAGACCCGCTGGAAATGTGGAACCCGTGACAAGATACAGATTAACTCGTTTTCTATAACACAGAATAGAAAAGAAAAATGTAAATTATCAGAAGTCTATATGAGATATACACTTCTGATAATTGACATTTTTTTTATCGTTGACATTGATTGTCACTCAAGCAGCTGTCACCCAAGCTGCTTGGATGACAGCTTCTCCTCCATAGCAACCTACCCAGACTTTGTGCCCTGGAGAGGCCACTCCAGACTGACAACCAGAGCGCAACTCCATAGCCTCCTGAGGCTGATAGATGCCAACTATATGAGACGTCAGCAATGTTTGCAAGGATAATGTTAGCAAATAGCAATGTGAAGTTTTCTACAATCATAAGTGGCTAGTGTTGTAGAATGGCATTCCTTACACATGCGTCGAATTTTATGGGCTATTCCTGCCCGTGCTACCTTTTGGGTGGCTTAATCTTTGGGT